AAGTTGTAGCAGTAACAATGAAAGAACTTTTATATTGTTCCGTTCGACACAAAGGCACCCTCAATAGATTAGGATTTCGCATCTCTCTCGAGGTATTTTCACTTCTAAAAATAAAGTTTTCATATAAATAACTAGGCTTTTTAGAATTTAAAATTACATATGTCAAACTTCCAATAAAAAACAAACGTCTGTTTTTAACATTTAACCACCCCAGTCTTTCACGATAAGGAGAAATACGCTCATCTCTTTTCAAATTAAAAATAAACCTTATACATGAATTAAGAAGTTTCTCAAGCTTATCATTGGGTTCATCTGTCAAATCATTATTAACAGCACAACAATAGTCGAAATGAGGTAATATCAAAGAAGAGACAAGCTGTGTTTTTAATTTAATAGACAGAGCATTTCTATTCGACTTGAATTGTTGCAATGTTGCATAAACCTTTCTACAAATGTTATCAACATGTTTTTCCCAAGAAAGAGTTGGATTAAAAATAACTCCCAAGTTCTTAACAAGCTGCACACAAGGAATGACTGTATTATTTATCTTAATGGGACTGCACTGATTTAAGTCCAATCTGTTCACATTCCAGGATGAACCAATTACCATTGAATAACTTTTATTAAGATTTATTTTAAGTTTATTTGACTCCGCCTTACTGTAAACAGCTTTTACATCCTGATTAATCAGTGCCACACTTTCCTTTAAATCATCAAGACTACAATGTACATAGATTTGCAGATCATCAACAAAATACATATGCTTTGTATGCTTAAGAATACTCCTTAAATCATTTGTGAAAAGTATAAACAGTAAAGGATCCAATACCGAACCCTGTGGAACGCCTGTTCCAATAAGACCCCATTCAGATATTTCACCATCCTGTTCATAGACAGATTGCCTTCTGCAAGACAAATAGGACGCAAACCATCTCAAAACAGACGCTGACAGACCAAAAGACTTTAATTTTAATAACAATAGATTGTGAGGGTTCATGTCAAAGGCCTTGCTAAAATCAAAGAAGATAATTATAGTTACCTTCCTGTTATCAATAGCATAAAGTATGTCATCAGTAATTTTAAGTAAAAGTGTTTGAGTTTTTAATCCTTTTCTATAGCCAGACTGAAATGGATCAAGAATGTTATTAGACTCTACAAATTCAATTAGCTGATCATGCACACACCTCTCAAGAACCTTTGACAGACCACACAGAATAGCTACCTGTCTATGCTCCCCAGGATGATGTGGAATCTTAACTTTATTAACTGGTTTAATAAGAACATTCTTCCATTCATCAGGAAAAACTGAGGTTTGCAGAGATTGATTAAAAAGTTGAAGCAAAAAAGGAAGCAAACTGACATCGCTTTTTTATAATGCTGATCAAATGACCATCAAATCCCTGCGCTTCAGTTTTTATACCCTTTAAAGCATTTAATATGTCAGAAGGACCAATATCTCGAAAATATAAAAAGCCATCATCAAAATCAACATCAATAAGGAGATCCGAGAGCAGCTGAAGCGTTATATTAAAAGACTGATTTCCACAAATAGTTAAAAAATAATCATTAATTTCATTTACAGTAAAAATGAGTGGAGAAACATTTATATTTTTCTTCACAACACCAAGATGTCTCAATTCGTTCCAGAGATCTCTCTGGTCTGTCATTCCCTGCAGCCTGTCTGCATTATAGCAATCACGCGTCTCTTTCACCAAAAACTTAACTTTATTTCTTAATGTTTTATATTTATTCTTAATTGCAATATCTCCTACTCTCTTCCATGCTCGAAAAGCAGAGTCTCTTTCTTTAATAAGATCCTTAATCTCTACACTCATCCGTGGACATAAGGGAACGTTCACAAATTACGTAACATTATAAAGGGGAGGGGGGGTCTAGCTATTTGTTATGTACAGCAGGAAAAATGGCGCTAATGTATGTAACAGTGTATTACATGGGGGGAGGGGGGTCAAAATTTTCAAAAATTAGCGTTACGTTATTTGTGAACGCTCCCTAATTTATTTTTCTTTATTTTAAAAGTATTTAAAGGTGCATGCTCATCTAACGCTGCATTAATCACATTACAGATAACAGTTAACTTATCATCAAATGAAAAAAGTTGCAAAAAATCATCTCAGTCAACATTACTAAGAGTTGATAAAAAAGCCATATCATCAATTCCTTTTAGATTTCGACATAACCTCACAGAACACTTTTACACATTAAATTTCCATTTATAAGTTAATTCAATAAGCTCATGTCCCGCAACAAAAGGAACATGAGACTGAGAAAAAGAAATTAATTTACTGTCATCATCAACAACACATAAGTCTAGCCAAGAATCAGAATTTCTTGTGTGGTCAGTGGCAGCATATGTAACAATAAACAAATTCAAAGATTCAAAAAAAGACCTGAGATAACCAGATTGAGATGAATTTTTGTTTAAATCGTAATTAAAATCTCCACATATAATTAAATTATCATATCCATTAAGGGCATCCGGGAAATAATACTGGTTTCGTGATAGACGTCTCATTTAAAAAGAAAAGAATATTTTGAGTCGGGAATTTTTGGTAAATATAGAGAAATGCTCTGGGACCAGCGGTCCTCTCGGAATTTAGAGAAATTTTGATAAATAATTATTGAAAAAAATTGTTTAAATATACGGAAAAAGGGGTTTTGAACGGTTCAGTAAAGACGTCTCATTTTGAGAGGATAAAATATTTCGGGTTCACATTTGGAGGGATGATAGAGGAAGACTCTCCGAGGAGCGGCCCTCCCCGTTTTTGCAATAATTTTGCGAGGAAATTATTTTATTAACGATTGAGAGTGGAGTAATTTGAGATTAATACATTTCCTCAGTTCGAGTCGCGACCACTTCCGAGAATTGGCGCCACCTCCTTGACCACTGACACATAGATCCACTTGTCTGTGTGCTCACCGCCATATTGTCCGAAACTTTCGCCAAAAATCCAACTTTTGTAATTTCGTTTTTCAATATTTATTTAAAAAATTACTTGCAAATTTCGAGAATATTCTTTATCATCATGAATTCCCCTAATTATCATGGTAAATCCCAACTAAATATCTTTAATTATTTAGGAGTGAGACGACACGCAGGAAAACACTTTTTGGGCTCGATTTTTCCCGGATGCCCTTAATAAATCTTGTAAAATTATATTCAAATTTTTCAAGGTTATTACCGTTTGGTCTTCGATAAAGCACAGTAAAAAAAGTGGTTTAAGGATTATTGACCCAGGTACACAAAATCAAAAGTTAGTGACATAGGAGTATAAAATAACACTAATACGGAGTCATTTTAATATGTCAAACAATTAATTTCTTTAAAGATATACCATTTTTAATAGTTTTTAGAAGAATTTATAATTGTAAAATGTATATATTTAGATTTATAATATTTATTTTAAGAAATTAACTTTTGTCAGGGAGTGTACAACAACTTAACAAAAAAAAATAATAATATTTTACAAACAGGATTATAAGCTTTAGAAAGCATTCTTTTATGAACAGTATGTGAAATCATAAAAAATATTGTTACATGCAAAAAAAATAGAGTTAAATTATTTTTAAACATTATTTTTGGATATTGAAAAAGTCAAAGTAAGGCGTGACAACACAGCATTTCCTTCTTTTTGTATGTCAAGGGTGGCAAACCTGACTACAAATTCACTATATATACATATAGTTAAAAACAAATAATGGCAAACAATTTAATTTGTAAAGAATGTACTGCAGTTTTGTCTTTGCAAGATATAGTGACTGAAAAGCAGTGTGGTGCAGCTTCTATGCTTGTAACCAAATGTCGAAATTGTTTAGCTGACAATACTGTCACAGCAGACAAAATTCATTTATCTGAAAAAAGAAATACACATTTTGATATAAACTCGAAATTATTACTTGGTAATTATAACTTTAATTTTAATAATACTATTAAAAAATTAGTCTTGCTTTATTTACAAAAACATAACCTCAAAAATCATGTATTCTTTTTTCTTAGGTACTCTGCACTCAGGACAAGGATGCAGTCATGTTAATAAATTATTTAGTGCTTTAAATATTCCACCCATCAATACGAAGCTTTTCAAGAGACACGAAAAAGAGATTGGCCTTGCTGTGGAGGATGTGGCAAAAAAATCGTGTGAGGAAGCTGCGATTTTGGCAAGAAAACTAACCATTGAAAATTCGAAGGAAATTGAAAAACTCATGTAAGAGAAATATACTTTTAGTATATTTCTTATAATTCTTTTAACGTTTAAGAACATTTATTTTAAACAATTATGATCAATTTATTAATATTTATAGGTTAATTATTTATATGCTATTAATTTAACTTTATCATAAATTTTTACATCTAATTATTTATAATAATTGGAAAGGAATTTTATACTTTTAATTTATTATAAATATCGATTAATTAAATTATGTTTTATAACAATATAATGATCTATATATTCTTCGAAAGATATGTTATTTTTTTAACTGTATTAATTATAATAGAAAGTTAAAATAAAATGTAAATCGAAAAAATGAAGTATCTTAATGATATTCAATTTTGTGATCAACCCATTTGAACTAATTTTAATTGCACTAAAATATGTTTCTGAAAAGTTCGATTTTCATAGCGTTATTTTTTAAAAGGCACAGTTTATTTCGATAAGTTTCATATAAATAAATGAATATCAATTTTAATCTTTATCGTATGAAGCTTAGAGTTTATTAATTTCTTTATTTATTTTTTAGGCCTGAGCATTTGCAAAATGGTTTCATTATCCCGAAAAAAGATTCTTCAAGCGTTTCTAATGAAGACCTAGTACGCTTTTCTGCTTCCATCGATATGGGTTGGTCAAAGAGAGGAACTGGTCGCAATTACGACAGTCTTGATGGTCAAAGTGCATTAATTGGAACTCACTAAAGATTTTATAACCTCGATACAAAGAAGTTTCAGTTTTGCAATATCTCAAAATAAAGGAAAAAATGCTTTAATGTCGACAGCTATAAAAAATATTCCGTTCCACTACTTCAATAAGCATAATAATTGTGGTTCATGGTGTACAAACCGCTTAGAAAATGATGAATCTTTAAGTGTCAGTTGTAGAACGGAATATCTTAAAAATCCTAAATTGTTTGAAGAACTACAGGAATTATTCAATGACTTGGCTAAAAACACACACAGATTTGCAGCTTGTGCATCTTCTCAAGCAAATGAGAGTTTTAATGCCATGGTTGCTAGTAAAGCACCAAAATCTCGAAGTTACAGTACATCAAAATCATTTGACTATAGACTAGCATGCGCCGTGAGTCAAAAAAACTGTGGAGAAAAATATATGCTCTCCGTAATGAAGAAATTACAACTGTCGCCAGGACATTATACTAAACAACATGTAAAGAAAGTTGAACATGTGAAGAAAAAACACTCTACATTAATAAATAAACCCGAGTTCAAAAAACGACGTTTGTTTTTGAAAAAACAGAGGACACTTTTACGTAAGAAAAAGGAAACTTCTGAAGGCAACATGTACGAATCTAATATGGGATTATTGAATTCATCTGAAGAGGACGAAGTTAATAGAAAGTTTCATGGGTTGAAAACAATAGATACAGCATTACCATTAAAAATGGTCTACTTTGATCTTGAAACATCTGGTTTAAGCGCGAAAGCAGATATTCTGCAAATTGCAGCTATTTGTAATGATATATCTTTCTCTGTTTATTTGAATCCGACACAAGAAATTTCTCAGAGAGCCTCAGAAGTAACTGGTTTACAAAATGTTGAGGGAAATTTGCTTTTAAATGGAAGAAAAGTTCAATCATTCCCCTTATCAACTGCAATGAAAAAATTCTTCCTTTTTCTTGCTGACTTGGAATGTAGGTGCATTTTAGTTGTGCACAACGCTATATTTGATTGTCCTCGATTGATGCTAGCAATAAAAAATGCAGGAATGATGGATCACTTTCAACTTGTTGTCCAGGGATTTACAGACACTTTGCCTATTGTAAAAAAGATTACTCGTAAAACGGAAAAAGGAGCGAACTCCCTTGAAGGTTTAGCTAAATCTTTGAATATTACAGCAGATAGTGCTCATAATGCTCTTTTCGACGTTTGTATTTTACAAGAAATTGTCCAAAAACTTGATATTTCAGATGATACTCTAATAAATTGTCAAAAAAGTTGGCAAACTTTTTTAAAAGAACAAATTTCCAAAGAGACTATTTCTGCAGCAGCCAAAAAACTCTTGATTCTTCGTGATTGTACCACAAGTCAAATGCGAAAAAAATAGCAGAAGGAGGGATTACATACGAAATGATTTGTGATGCGTTTCGTGAAAATAAACTTAATGGCTTAGAAAAACTTTTCGGCAGAGATGAGAATGGTAATAAAGTCACAAAGTCAAAAACTGTAATAAAAAAATTTTTGATTACTTAGACAAAAATTGTTTGTAAAAATTTAGAATTGTATGGTATCGATGAAAATTGTGTAAACAAAAGGTCTGATAAATACCAAAAACTACTTTTATTTAAATGTTTTTCGAAACTAGGTGTTATCTAACATTGTTAATTTTATGCTTGTTAATTTTATATTAATATATTAATTAAATGTATAATAAACACTGGTATTAATTGATAATTACCAAGTAATATATTAATAACAGATCAAAGATTTATTTAATTTCATATTAATCAAATAATACAAAAACTATTTGAGACTCAAATTGTACGGCTTTGTCGAATTTCTTAATAGAAAATGAGACTGATTTTTTCGATGTAAAAATACGACAAATTAATGTAAATTGGATTTTTGTTTATGGTAAATAAAAACATGATCAAAAGCATCACAATTTTAAACAGTGTTTGGAAATTTCATTTTAAATTGGACACATTTTGAATATTTTTATAATTTAAGATTTTTAAAATTTTTCTAAATTAAAATTAAAAGCAAATAAATAAAATGTTTAACAAATTTTTTTAAAATATTGATAATTTTTTTATGACAAATTCTTCAAATTGTTAAATATACTTTTTTTTTAAAATATTCATTGCGCAATTTCAAACAGTGGTCGCCTTATAAAAATAGCTGCTTGAACGCGTAACGTAATTTCAAAAGAATATTTCTCCCAATTTAAACAATTATTGACAAGTCGGAAATAATACCAGTAATCTTGAATTCTTGTCCTTTCATTTGCGCACAAGAAATTGAAACTCCAATATAATACACGACTAAAGGAAGTAAAATGTGAAAATTTGATGTGCCCATTAGGTGCTGCCCCCTGGCGGTAATTTTATGTACCGCACATTTGTTTAACTTTTTTCTATTTAACTTCCTGACATTGTAAATGTAAATAAATATTTTACTTTTTGTGCGCAAATGAAAGATAAAATATTCAGGATATCTGGTATTTTTCCGATTTTCTAATAACTGTCTGAATTGGGAGAAAAATCATATTCAAATCAATTATACATCTGAGAAGACATTTTTAAAAAGCGAAACATCATTAATGAAAAATTTTATTTAAATTAAATCTGACTTTTCTAATATCTTGAATGCTCATTCATTTGTAGGTTATATTTTAGAAAAAGCATGATAAACTAAACAAACATATTTTGATGTTTAGGTTAAATTTTATTTTAGATGTAATATTGTTTAAAATGGATTTATGATCTTTATAAAAATGTTTTTGAGCTTTCGCTGGCTGACAGCAAGCCTCCTACAAATGTTGAGGTTAAGTGTTTATAATTATAAGTAATTATTTTATTGTATATCTTTTCGTTAAAGTAAGTAATTTCATAAGAGAAAAACACGAAACCTATTTTCCCGCCTTTTCTCTTTAGCGTTTTTTCGCCCCTTTCATATTCTCACACATGCAAACTTTGTGTATATTTATAAAGCGATGTTGCCAAATCTATACATTTGGAAGTACATATTTTCCTAATTAATAATTATTTTCAAACTTTCGTGACTTTTTTCTCAAAAACTAGATTCTGAATTACATTCAAATTCACCATAATTAAACTTTAAGAATCAAAGAATAACATACTAAAATTATGTATAAATCTGCTCATTTTTTTCGTCAAAATTTATAAAAGTGTTTAAGAAGACGTGTAATTATTTTCGATTACCATTAAAAGCTATGTTAATATTAATGTTTGTAACTTTTAAACCAGGTTCTGAAAGTTAATCACATTTTACAGTAATATTTCTACAAATATTATCTTTTAATTCTCAAAATATGAACCAATTCTGCTCATTTTGAAAATAGGGTCAATAATCCTTAATACCCTGATTATTGATTTTGATAATAACGTACTCTGGTTCATTATCAAATTTACCAGGAGATGAATGAAGAACCCCAAACTTTAAATCACTCCTCACATATGCCGCAACTCCACCACCTCGCTTTTCTTTTCTATCTCTGCATATCAAATTATAATTATTAATTTTTACCATACTGTCTCTAATCTCTTCAGTTAACCACGTTTCACTTAAGGCTACAACATGAATTTCATTTGATAATGGCTGTTTTCGGCATTCACCCAGGGTTAACCCCGAGTTAACAATTATCCAATCATCAACAACATTCTGTTGGATCTAACCAATCACCGTTAACCGGAAGTTAACCCGGGGCGAGTGCCGAAAACGGCCAACAAATGAGCCCTCAAAAGATTTATATTTGATTTAAGCGAATTTATGTTAATATGGCAAATCCTTAATGATGAAACTTCAGTAGCTCTAGAAGAATCAGAGCATATGGGCATTACACTTGAAGGCAGAGGTTGAGAAAGCACAGGTGGTAGTCATTCCTTCAATATATCCAGGTCCTCATTGAAAATTATCTTAATAACTTCCCCTCTATCAACACGTCTCACAAATATTATACATTCTTTGTGCCACACGTATCTGTATTGCAAGAGTTTCGCCTTATTTCTGACTTTTTTGAGCAAGTTATAAAAATCAGGAGGTAAATATACATTTACATATACACGACATTTCGGCAAAGAGGAAAAACTTCGGTTGACAAAAGGGACTTTCTGCTCTTCATTGCAGATACAAATTCACTACCGGGTCTAGTCGAAGAAAAACGTACCAGCACTGAGCGATTTTTAACCTCCAGTGGTTCCGCCGATGCCACTGAAGTATTTCTAGCAGGCATTCTAAATGTATCAATAATTTCCACTGGAGCAAGTATAACTTTCAGGACAGAGGCAATTGAACAAACTAGCTGTCTCAAATCTTCTTCACTACTTTCTGGCAAACCCGAAATAACCACTGAGTCCGCACATTGTTTGACCTCAGTTCTCGTCAAGCGCATATTAAGTTTTTCACGATCACTTTGAAGTTCCACCACTTGCTCTTTTAGGGACTCATTAACTTCAGAAATTTTTGACACTTTGCTACTTAATTCCTTTGTTTGTTGAGCAATATCATTAAGTTTCACAGAGGTTTCCTCCATTTTTTTCTGTAACTCAGGTAGACATCCAACTTTAATTTTAATTTCAGAAAGATCAGAATTTAAGTCACTTTGCTCCTTTCGAAGAGCTGACACTTGATTTGAACAACTTGTAATGACAGACATAAGTTGCTCAAATTGAGAATAAGAAATTGACTCACTTTCTGTAGTATCCATTTTTTCGTGCCGAGTACCACTTTCTTCCCTTAAATCAATCTTAATTAATTCCTCTTTACAAAGAACCAACTCATTATTTGGATTATATACTTTGTGAGTATAACAAGTCGCATTTGTGTGAAAGTATTTGTCACATTTTCGACAATAAACCGCAATTTTTATTATGACCTTTTTACAAAACTGACATAGTTCTGGCATTTTCACAAAAAATCAAAAAATAAAAAGAAGAGATTAAGTACTCAAAAAGTAATAAATATTCCTGCACGTTAGGCAATCAAGATTACATTAGAGCAGATATTAACGTGCTCCTAAAGTATAGACAACCCAATTATCAGCACTGATAAGATTTATAAGGTAGATCACAAATAAAAGTGTCCCATTGATATTACAGGATTCACTAAATCGCTGTTTTCAATTTTGCTCGTAAGATGTCATTAACGTCAGCCAATAAATTATGACGTCATAACAATTGTCTCAAAACACAAGAAACACTAAAAACACTAAAAAAACAATGCAAGTTATAAAAATTGCATGTAAAACACATCCACCAAATCATAGTAGCAAAAATGGGACTGCACCTTCAGCATCAGCTCTGACAAAATAAGCTGCACAAATCAACTACAAACCAGTTATTAGTTATTAGTTATAACCAGTTATTCCAGTTATTTTACGAAACAAATATGCACAAAAGCAATGCAACAAATAACAATTTCATCATAGTCCATGACAAACTCAAAAAAAATATACCACAAAAAGAAGAATTATAAAATTATAAAGACATTTTGTAAGAGCACTGAAATAACACGTTACTCGTTACTAATTAAAATTGTTATTTGAATAATAAAAAACAACAAATTTATCAACTTTGATATATATTTTCTGAATTTAATTTCAAAAAGGCAGAGACAATTTTTTAAATTATTAAATCAACTGATTTTCAAATTGATTGTGAACTGACTTGTTTTCTGTGAAGAAGAGTAAACATCGAATAAGATGTTTGAATTATCTGCAAAATTATTAAAGAAAATTATTAATAAATAGATTAGTTTTAAATTAATTGTCAGTATATTAGTTAAGTATTTCATAATTTCATTTTTAATTATAATGTCTAATTAATTGATACTTATTATTTAATCAATAATAATTAATACCAATAAATGAATTAATTATTTCATACTAAATTATTAATATTTATATTAATATTTATATTTTATTTTTATATTAATTAATATTCAGTATTAGCTAAAATTATTCCAGAATATATTAATTATTGCGGAATTAATTAATTAATTCAGTGAATGTTATATAAATCTTAAAATTGCAGTAATTTATTAATAAATTTATATTAAATTATTATATTAATACCTGTATTAATAAATAGTAAAAGGAAATTGATATTAAATTTAAAAATACAGCACTTACCGACATGAATGTTTGTACAGTTAATTTAATTAAAAAATCAGTGTAAAAAATAAGTGGTCTCTGTGATCTCAACATTATAATTTGTAAATCCCTTTTATAACGTAATTTTAAGTTCAACCAATTTCCCATATAAATTGCTGTACCTAAATTTTCATTCTTTGAAAATAGAAAGAATATCATAAATTTATTTTTAAATTATGTAAATACTTTTTTTTAAAATATAAAATCTTTATATAAAATTTTTTAAAAAAAATTATACAGGTCGAAGCAAACTTTTGACAAATCTTAAAAACCAAAAGGAAGATATTGTAAATTGAAAGTTAAAACAGTGTCTGAATCATTTTTCATTGAGTTTTAAGCGAATCTGGTAAATTTTTGAGCATTTTAATCGCCGTATTATATCCTCCATATTTAATTTTGAAAATCTGATATACCAGATTCGTAATCAGCCCCCAAAAAAATCTCCGAGTAACAAGTTTCAAGCATTTCGGTTAAGTTTTTAAAAACTTGTCCGCCATATTGGTTCGGACATATTGAATTTTGCAATTTTTAGAAAAACTTTATTTAAGGGCATCCGGGAAAAATCGAGCCCAAAAAGTGTTTTCCCGCGTGTCGTCTCACTCCTAAATAATTAGAGCTATTTAGTTCGGATTTATCATGATAATTAGGGGAATTCATGATGATAAAGAATATTCTCGAAAATTGCAAGTAATTTTTGAAATAAATATTGAAAAACGAAATTACAAAAGTTGTATTTTTGGCGAAATTGAGAGACAATATGGCGGCGAGCACACAGACAAGTGGATCTATGTGTCAGTGGTCAAGGAGGTGGCGCCAATTCTCGGAAGTGGTCGCGACTTGAACTAAGGAAATGTATTAATCTCAAATTACTCCACTTTCAATCGTTAATAAAATAATTTCCTCGCAAAATTATTGCAAAAACGGAGAGGGCCGCTCCTCGGAGAGTCTTCCTCTAGCACCCCTCCAAATATGAACCCGAAATATTTTATCCTCTCAAAATGAGACGTCTATACTGAACCGTTCAAAACCCCCTTTTTCCGTATATTTAAACAATTTTTTTCAATAATTATTTATCAAAATTTCTGTAAATTCTGAGAGGACCGCTAGTCCCAGAGCATTTCTCTATATTTACCAAAAAATCCCGACTCAAAATATTCTTTTCTTTTTAAATGAGACGTCTATCACGAAACCAGTATTATTTCCCGGATGCCCTTAAACTACTTCCATTTTGTTATTTTTGCATAAAAATTAATAATTCTAGTTCGGACGATAATTACAGTCCTACTAAACCTAAATATTTTAAAATATTTAAGATTAAAATTTAAAAAGTCTTTAAAGGAGGAAAAATAGTACTTTCGCATGATACTACGAACTTTTAGAAAAGAAATCTTCTCTTATGATGTTACATGACTTCAAAAATGATAAAATTTGATAAAAATACAGGGTTTTTAAACTTTTAGGTTAGAATATCTTAAAACCTTGACGTGCTGAGGAAATTTTAAAGCGAGATTCAGATTCAGCACATCAAGAAACTTTGAAAAAGTTTTGTTCGGTTCTTGGTTTTGAAATTCGACAAAATTTTGGCGGCAATTATTATTTTTAGAACGCAACGTATATTAATAATTACTTGAAGGTATAACTCATTTCCATTATAACAGTAAATAAAAATTTGATAGGTCATACACAGTGCATAAAAGCTGTGTCCAATTAATTCTGCAGGAACGTATGTCGTCATCTTTAAAAAAAGAATTTTTCTTCTTAATAAAAAGAATAAGCTGCTAATAATTTTTCAATTGGAAGGAGAATAAAATTATGTAGACATAAATTTTACTATGTGCTTTCTATTTTATTATTAACTACTTTTTTATATTTTTAAACTATGGTGAACTATGGAAAGAAGAAAAACTATTTTTTTTAATATTTTCAAACTGTGGGCAAAAAATGGAAAAAACATGTTGCCCATAGTTTGAATATATTAAAAAAATAGTTTTTCTTCTTTCCATAATTTTTATTAATTTAGATTTAGAGAGTAAATAACAACTGTAAAATTAGTGATTAAAATAAATAAAAATTAAAAATTCATACCTGTGATACAGAATATGTTGATAAACAAATAACTACAGAATTGATAAATAATTGTAAACCAATTGCTGTGCAGAATATATTTTGAAGTTCGTTAATAAAACTGAATACACATAAAAAAGAGAAATAATTTTACAACAAAAATAATATTAAGAAATACGCATTATAATTTTTAAGAATATGGAAAATCTCGAAATTATGAAATTGAAAATTTAAAAAAAATATAATAATACACTGACAATAAAATATTTTTAAAAAATATTAATTTCGTATTTAAGAAAGAAACTAACTCATAAATAGTCAAATTGTGCTCAATGCATTTACGTAATTTTTCTTTAATCTTCTTGTCAACCAAATCTTCATCTACTTTTTCGATTGAATTTTGTGAAAGACTATTTTTTTCACTATTGTCCCCTATTGAGGCTATATTTAATTTTAGTATTTCAAATTGACAGCATGCGACATTGATTAGACCACTTATAAAAGAATCGATGGCCAAATTATTGATGCAGCACATTATAATTGCCACTGCCTGAAGTTATCGTCATTAATTAGTAAAATAATTATAATTTAATATATTATTATTTTTTTAATCATATTTATAATATAAATTATTATAATATAAATATATTATATTCTAGTAAATTGTAATAAATAATAATCATAATTATAATTATTATATTTTTATAAATTATTATTATGTAAATTGCAATTGTTATTATAATAAACTATTAAACAAAGGCAAAAATATAGCAATAGTTTATATCCATTGAAAGTGGGAAGTTGGAAAAAAAATTACCTGATGTGTCCATGTAATAACAAAAGCAATTGATTTTGTTGTGTCAAAAGGATACCATCCATCAAGTGGCAATCTTCTTTCGTTATCATTTACAAGTGCACTTATTGGTATTAAAGACATAGATGTAACACCGAAAGCACCGATTATTTGATAAGTACAATGATGAACTATACCTTGCCAAGCAAACGATGACAGTACTTTTTTGTATCTGTAATATACAACAAAAAATATTTTAAATTTTCAACTCAAAACAAAGATTCTGAAATATTTACAAATTTAAACTATAAGTATACAGGGTTGATGCCACAGCGGTGGATTAACAGCGGTAACAGGCATAAGGTAAAAAAATGTGTTATTATTTTCTCATTGAGTTACTCAAAAATAAAAAAAACTCAATATCGCCTTTTGAAGCCTTTCACTGCTGCTAATCCAACACTATTGCATCTATTCTATATATTAAAAAAAATCATTATTAAAGTACTCCAGAAGCATAAAATACAATTATAAGAAAAATTTTATTTTTACTAATTTAAAGAATAAAAAATTTTAAATTATTGTTCTTTTAGATTTTAAATAATACCTTACATTATCTTTCGAAAAAACTGAAGACTCAATGATTGAGAGTAGATTGTGTATTTTTTGATGATGCCAAACAATGAGAATAAACTTTACATATAAAACAAAAGATTTTTATTAAAGCACACAAATTACAATTTAACACATTCAGAGATAAATTATTTCACTCTAATAAGTTGTTAGTAAAAATTAATCATTATTAGAAAAAAATAAATAATTTTTAGTAACTAATTGCTTTTACACTATATTCATAGTATAGTGTATATGACAATTACGGTCGGACAGGAAATTCAAAATTGTGTTATTTTATAACGAATAGTAAAATAATTTGAAAGTATTTTCATATATACAAGTAGTAATAGGGGAGTTTTAGTCAGACCGGGAATCAAAAATTGAAAAATTTTATTATCATTTAAGTTACAATCGCCTCTATAGTTGACCATAGTTTTTATTTCCTCTTATAAAGTAGTGTTCGCACAGCAATCCAAATTAATAATAACTAGCAATAATTCGTGCGCGGCTAACTTCTCACTCACTTTTTTAAATAAAATTAGCAATTTTAAAAATAATAGAACGTACAAATTTTTAATTTAAATTTTTTTTATAAAAGTAAAATATGAATTTAAAAAAATTAAATTTTGAAGAAGTTACAAATGATTGCAGAAATTCAATTATTTTCAAAAGCAATAAAATTCTTGTCACAAAATTCAATTATGTTCAACATTTACAAAAAAATCTCGAAAAAATCCTAATTATTATCTTTATAAATAAAAAAATTCTTCTTCAAAATTGAATTATTTTCAAAAATTTAATAACATTCTTGTCAAAATTTAAATTATTTTTAATATCTACTATTATAATAAAATTACCCAAAAGAATTCAATTATTTAAAAACAATTTTAATAAAATTGTACGCAAACATTTAATTATTTTCATAAATAATAATAGAAAGACAATGTATTTAATTATTTATAGAATTTTCAACTTTAGCCTATATATGAAACGTTTAATTTGATTGACATTTTTCAATTTTCAATAGTAAAAGTCAGTTTTTAGTATAAATTCGTATCTAAAATTCAAATCCCTAAATTTTTACAGTGTATGATCAGCTTTAAGTCAGACACATTTTATACTCTTTTCAATATTGTGTTTTATGTAGAGAAACTCAGTTTGGGTCCGACTAGAATTTTTTAATTTAGTAAGATTAAATCTCATATATTTTCTGTAGAATGACTCAGTTCGAAACAGTCTTGAATATTTGAAAAATTTCTTAATAGAAAAAGAGCTTAGACGTGAGGAGATTTTATCTTCAGTAGTGTAAATAACAAAGGCCGACAAAATTTTGGCGAATCTAAGAACCAAGAACAGGACAGTACACCGAAAAAAATAAAATCTTAAAGTGTGAAGAAAATTCCGCTTAACAAGTAATTTTACATTCTATTTTGAATATTCGAATATTAAAAGAGGAATTTTTGTTTATATTTAAAAGTTTTTTAACTAAAAAATGAATTTTAACCTTTCTTTTATGATTGAAATTATTCCTCTCAAATTGAAACAAATTTATATTAGAAAAAAGATTTTTAAGTTCTTTTTTGTTTTTCTGAACGCAGGTTCAATTTTTTCGGTGTACTTTTCCAAAGGTTTTCGACGTGCTGAATCCGAATCTGACTTAAGAATTGCCCTATCACGTCAGGTTTTTGAGATATTCTAACTTAAAAGTGCCATTTTTTAAGACCTGTACAATCAAGAGAAAATTATTTTTCTAAAAATTAATTGCGGCATCTGAAAGTTTACCCCTTTTCAAATGTAAAAAAATCTTTATTTGTCTCTGAGATATCGTCATTTAAAGTTTTTGAATCTGGTAAGTATATGAATATTGACAAATTTACCAAATTCAAAAACTTTAAATGTCGATATCTCAGTGACAAATAAAGATTTCTTCCAGTTTTAAAAAGCTTTTTAAAGGGGAAGAATAGTACTTTCAGATGCCGCAAATAACTTTCAGAAAAAAACATTTCTCTTGATTGTACAGGACTTCAAAAATGTCCAAAAAACGTGTTATTGACACTTTTAGTATAGAATATTTCAAAAACATGACGTGATGGGGCAATTCTGAAGTCAGATTCGGATTCAGAACGTCAAAAAACATTCGGAAAAGTATTGTCCGGTTCTTTGTTCTGAGATTCGCCAAAATTTTGTCGGCCTGTGTATGTTTCAATCAGATACACCATATTTCTGTTTTGTTATATCTTTTTGTCGGCAATAAACTTTTTTCTCAGTAGTGTAAATCAATTTTTGTTAGTCAGAAAAATTAAAAAGTGTCTTTGCACTCGTAAGTAGTACAGGTAAATATTAGTCAGAAAAGGTCTGCTATAGTAATTATTTTCGTAATCTTTTCCTTATTGTAGTAAATGACACTTGCAAATAGTTCGTGAAACGTGAAACTTAAATTTGGATATAAATATTTGTCAGTAGATACAGTCGCTTAGAGTCAGGCAAAACGTTTTAAAAATTCTTTTCTATATTTTACAAGCTCAGTAGTAAAAGTCAGTATTAACTTAGACAGTAAAATTAAATGAACGCTTTTGTCGAACCGAACATTGTATTTTTGTTTACACTATAAAAATTCAAAAGAAAAAAAGTTTTTTGATTAAAAAAAAATTATTAATTAGTACTTATAGACAGAAGTATATATGTGACACGGAGAGTTAAAAGGGACCTACGGTCCGAAAAAAAGATTTCGAGAAAAACGACTTTGAAGTTTACCAAGTTAGTTTTTTTGGACTGTTTTTTGTCAAAGTACCTAACTTTGAAGTGAAATTGTGAGAAAAATAATGCAGCTAGAAAGCTGCGGTTTATTGCGTTGGAAAGAGCGGTTTATTTACTATACGAACAGATAAAAAAGTGAAAATCGATTGTTTCGGATCGTAGGTCCCTTTTAACTGTCCGTGTTACAATATATATAACTTAATTCCTTTGAAATACCTTATAAGCGTGCAGAGAGTTCGTGATGAATAGTGGAACTCCAGAAGCAATTTTCGCAAGATTGTTACAATTAATAATAATATTAACAATTTCTACAAAAAGATAAACTCCTAATGTAAACATAAAGAAGCAAAAGCTGTAAACAAAGAACATTGTTTTATAAAAACCGGTCAATTTCGGTGGTAAAGTTCCCATATTTCGTAATATTCTCATACTAATTTTCAAATGGTGATTAGGTTCGAGAATTCTTTCTCCCTTCTTTTTATTCATCATAATTTACTTATTTATTTATTCACAAACAAAGAAATAAATTAAAAATAATTTTCAATTTTTTTAAATGTGTTTTGTTTTTTTACTTTTGTGTGACTTTCAACATTCTACTGAAACTTTGATAAAAGGTAATAGAAATAGAATACCAGGAAATAATGAATAAGAATGACAATAAATTGTAAGATGTTTTAGTACTCGAAAATAATCGACATTTAGTTTTCCTTGACGACCCATTTGCCAATTCTGAATCATATACTATTAGAGGATAGTCTGTAGATGTCTATTTAGTAATATGTAATTAACAATTTGCAAATCAATAGTGAGGAAGAGAAGTCACGAAATTTCAAAGCCCATTATTAATTTTCTCTGTTTAATAACAGGTTTTGTTCTTCTTATCGATCCTTGTTAAATAACCAGTGTTGTAAATTTAGTCAATACCGGAATTGCAAGCAATGACACTGTATATCAATTTTAGTTATAGAAATAAATCCACTAAACAAATTATATTTTATATATTATTTTTTCATAAATATTATTTTTCTCGAAAAATGCCTACTTTAATTAAAATCTGTAATAGATTGCAAGTTTATTAAATCAAGTGAAAAATAAAAAATATAGAAACAACTCGTCAAGATATAAAAATAAGAATAATAATAATATAGTTTCAAATTGTTATAAAGAAGTGGTAATGTAGTAACAAACTATTAATTAATAAAATTTACTAAATTATTAAATTTCTCTATTATTTAAATGTTGATTTTTATTAAAATTGTTTTATTAATAAAATTTAATTTTTATTAAAATTTTTATTTCAATGAAGCTTAATTTTGCCTTTCTGTTTTCAAAAATAAAAACTAGGTAGTAATCGCATTTTCCGTGAAGTCGATGTTCACTTAGGTGAAAATAAAATCCCGACCTTATGGCAAATACTGCTACAAGGTTTTCACTTTGGAAAATTTTGAACAGCAAACTTACTATTTATTTGTTTTTACTTATTATTGTTTTTAAAATTTTTATTTCTATTAAACACATTTTATTTTACTCCTAACAACATTTTCCTGTTCTTTCGTTATAATACAAATTATTACACTTTTAATAAATAGCAATGTTTAAGTTATTTAATATTAGTTTTAAGAAATGAGAATTTTAATTTATTCAATTTTATTAAAATAAAAAATTGGAAAATTTTATGCTATTAATATTCGTTCAATTTATTATTATTTTTGGTGCTATGGAATATTTATTGTTTGACTCGCTTTCTTCTGATAAAATTGTTCTAAGGAGAAGCCGTATTTTTCAATAAAAGTTTAGTTTATCGTTTAAATTTTAGTTCAACATTTCTCGTTCAACATTTTGGAAGAAGAAAAAGAAAATTGTTTTTGAAATTTATTAAGTTATTCAAATCATGGATTTCGGCTATATATCGGCTGCTGATAGCTCGTTAATGACAGACAATGAGGATATACCACCATTGTATTCATCATCACTTCCTAATAAAATTCAAGAAATAAAACAAGTTCCAACTCTACTGAAACCAACAAGAAAAAATTATTTAAAAAACATTGCAATCCTATCTGTGAGATAAATGAAGAAGAATAAGGAAAGAGAATTGCAATTTATAGAAATTTACAATAGTTTCTATTGGAATGACAATTTGTTGAATATAAAAAGAAACCAAGCATTATATGATACTTCGATAGATATTGAATTATATGAAAAAGTTTATGGATTATATTTAAAGAATGAGATTCCAGTATTTTATCAATTAACGAATTTCACAAAAAGTTATATACATATCTACCATTGAGATTACTGAATTTGTGTTTCAAATGCAAACAATACGGTCATTTGCAAAGATATTGCAAAAATGAGCATCATCCTGTTCAGATCTGTTGGGATTGTGGGAGAAAGAACCACCATACAAAAGAGTGAACAGTGAAATTTGATGACGTCAAAATTGAAAATATTAAATATGTCAATTTTGAAAGTGAAATTGAAAGTTTGTTGAAAATAGCATTTCCAAAAAATGAAAAAGAAGAGGAGGAAGAAAAAGAAGAAAAAGAAGAAGAAGAAGAAGAGTTTAAAGATAACAATTATAAACCACAACTCGAAACATACAATCAAATTACAGAAAAGGAGGAGGTTTTGTATCGTCACAATAATGAAATTTATACTTCGCGAAGTTTACAAAAATTAAAAAAAGCAAAAGAGACTGCCTACTATAGTCAAAAATTGATTGAAAATTTCTCTCAAAATACGGACATTCAGGCCGCAGTCCCATGACAGCGTTTTGCGTTGCGTCGTAATGGGAGAGAAAAAGACGCAAATATACGTTTGCTTCATTCTCTCTTATTACAACGCAACGCAAAACGCTGCCATGGAACTGCGGCCTCAGTCAAAAGGGAAATTCGATAAAAAGATGTTGGGTAATAGGAATTAAAAGTGTTTTACTTGTCATCAAATAGGACATTATAGAGTAAAATACCCTAAAAAGCAAGATGGGAAAAATTGCTACGTTTGTGGTGAAATTGGAGTAACGCTAAAAACTTGCAAAAATCCACATTAATTGGAATGAAATGATGTCGAATTATCCCTAAAGTAAACTTTTAATCCGCTAATGATATTTCAAAATTTATAATATTGTATTTTCAGAAAATTAAATTAAAGTTAAATTAAAGTTAAGTTATTGTTTGACTCATTAGTAGAAAACCACTGAAAATTTTTATTTTTTTAATGAATTTTATTTAATTTTCACTAAAAAAATATTTTTTATATACTAGAGACCCTATTTAGTGGTTCTTGATTTGATGAGGTTTCTAGTGTATAAAATATACAATAATTACTATTTCTTCTTCCTTTTCAATCCGAATTAATTTTCTAATGAGAACTGACATTTTTTCTGTGCAAAAGTGTAAACATTGAATATGACATTTGAATTATCTGCAAAAATAATAAAAACTCATGTAAAAAAATTGTATGCAAAAAATTCTTTTATACTTGTATTTAAATGAACACGAAATTCACTTTCTTGATATTTATAGATAAAAAAAATATATTATTTTATTATTAATGATAAAAAATAATTACTTTAATAAGTAAAAATATTATTAATGAGAGAAATGAAACTTACTGACATAAACGTAGGAATCGTCAATTTGATAAGAAAAGTAGTAGAAACAACGAGTGGTCTACGTGTTCTAATCATAATTATGTACAAATCTCGTTTGTAGCGCGTATTTAATTTCCACTAGTTTCCCATGTAAATTGCTGTACATAAATTTTCATTCTGAAATTTATGAAAATATTACAATTATTCAAATCAAAGCTAAAAACAATAATATTAATTATTAAATTTAATTTAAGAGTACTTTCTGGTCAAGAATTTGAAAAATAAATTTCCTTTATACCTCGGTCGAAAGTACGTACTTCCCTCTGCGATTTCGCAGCAGAAAGTCAAACATTTGTGCTTTGGTTGCTTTTCATACCCAACCTCTATTACAGCGGAAGTAAAAGAATTATATGTCGGTGAAAATACCACTGTCGGTAAATAAGAAAATTTCGAGTTCGTCGAATTTCGAATTTTCGTCAATGACAATTTAACGAGTAATTTTTATCGCAATATAAAATGAGATAATTATTTTTAAAACTTATTTTAATAAACATTAAAAACAAAAATAAAATAATTAAAAAATTTTTAATTTCTTTTTTAATACGTGCTAAAATGTTATAATAAAATTTTAATAATTTGAAGAAATAATGAAATTGTGTTCATTAGAATGTTTAGAATTTTAGAAACATAAAATTAATTTTGTACTAACAGAAAAGTTCTTTTGAAAATATAATATTAATTTATCTTTCACATTTTTTTCGTGCCTGCCCCCGACCAGAAGCACTCGCTTCGCTCATGCATCAAATGTCGTGGCAGGCGAATGTTGTTTGCAAGAGAGAGACAGAGAAAAAACCAGAGCTTCACGTGTGTCCGCTAGAGGCGTTGAAGCGAGGAGCAAAAGTAAATAAAGATGGCCGGCTGTCAAATGAAACTCGATTGCAATTTTCTTAAAAAATAAATTAGCAAGCGTACTTTCGACCGTATATAAAGGAAAATAGTATACATTACACGGGCAGAAATTCGAAAGCCCAAAACTACGCGATGATGCCCTCGGCTTCGCCTCGGGCATCATTTCGCGCAGTGCGGGAATTTCGAACTATCTGCCCTTATAAAATGTAATATACTATTTTTTGCTTAAAAATGTTCCTTATCATATAATTATTGGCCCAAAACATGTTCTAAGAAATATGTAAAAAAAAAATTAGAAGGTTATTTTTCACTAATTCTGCACCAGAATGTTCCCTTGACAGAATATAGTAAAGTAAACATTTACTTGAAGATATAATTCATTTCCGAGAAAGGTGAAAGCAAAAATTTGATACGTCATACAGAAAACGTATGAAAAATTCCCTAAAAATTCCACTGGTGTAAATTCTCTGGCCTTAAATAAAGAAAAAATTTATTTCATTGTTCGAAATTTTGATGTCACGTTACAATTTCTTTTTGTACAATAATTTACAGTTATATATAATTTTAATCGAAAAGTCGGACAAATGTCAGAGTTTACAACCGCTTGGGATCCACGCCCGTACTGACCACCACACAGTGGGACGAAATCACCAAAACGTGTCCAAAATGAAAAAAACAATTTTTTTTATTTTCTTCTGTAAATGGTATGGTTTGTTGCCGTGATTATTCAAACTTTAATACCGAGAAAGACGATTTTATGTAGGGTTCGATTTCGCTAGTAGTTCATCGCAAAGTTATCCTTCATTACGCTTTCACACGACGCGTTGCACTAGCTGTGATTTTAAGAACTTTAAAAGTGCAGTGAAACAAAAAATTTGGTCTTTTTAAATCGCTCTCAAAATAGAAAATCTTCCTGAAGGTATATAACGTTAATATTAATCCACGTTTACGTAAGTGCAAATAAATATACGTACATATACAT